CGTATAGCTTTGGCCAACACTTTGTAGCTCTATTTTCTATAAGGTTTGATTCAAAAACTTCGCTAATAATGCCCCCATCAGGGTCATGTCCCCTTACAACAGAGTGTATAAAAAACTATATTGTTTTAGAGATGTTGTAGTTGTGTTGTAGCTTTGATGGTCCAGGAAATATGCAAGAAGCAACATTTGCTAAGTAATATCTTGTATTGGAATAGCTGTATACAGCTGTGAAAAGTGTTAGACAATCTTTCAGGCACAAAATGCCCTTCTGCAGGTCTGGGAAGGATGCAGACCCAGCCTAAGCTATTGTACTAAGTTTGTGTCTCTCTGCTGGGCTACACAGCTCTTTTTCTTTTATGAGGAGTTTTAGGATGGGATTTTTACAACCACTTAGGCCCAGATTCTCAAAGGCATTTAGGCACCTTGCACATATTGATTTCAGGCTCACATCAGTTTAAAACCAGATATATTGGTTTAGGTTGCATCTGTATGTTTGCTGATTTGAAGAGGAACAAGTACAAATCCAGCTTAAATTGATGGGAGAACACTGACACGCTCTGTCACACTGGTTTAGCTAAATCTGTCTAAAATCACACACTTGTAACAAAACGGGTGTGACTTTGTGCCACAGCCAGTTGGTTTTAAGCCAAATCAAAATAATCCTGAATGAAAGTGAAGTCAGTGTGGCCAGACAGACTTTTGCACTAGTTTAAGTAAATCAGTTGCAAAAGTGCATGTTTAATGAGTGAGTCATTATTTTCCCCCGTGGATAAGTCTGCATTTTTTCCTGTTACAGTCCCTGTTACAAAAAAACAGATAACCAGACCCCTACATATCAAAACAGTTGCTGGACTCTTCACTAGCAATTGCATCCTCAAAGGTCAAAGGTGTGGGTGTATTGGTGTGAGAGCAGGAATTAGACTTTGACCCTACCAGTAGCAGAGCACTCAAGGCCCAACTGAGCAAAGATTTGTAACAGTAGTTCTCAGCCTTTTTAGACTCAAGGCACCTCTTGTTAGGCTCAAGGTGCCCCTCAGAAAGTGCCAGCTCTTAGGTTTTACTCATTTTTAACTACCGAAAAATAATAGAGAAATTTTGTTGCAAAGAACTCAGGAAGACCGCAGTAGGGCAGAATGATTTTAATGCTATGGATCCCTGTTTCCTAACAGTGCCAACAGTGCCTGGCACTCTGCAGCACCCTTGAAAGGATCTCAAGAGACCCCAGAGGGTTGAGGACCCTGATTGAGAATCATTGGTTTAAAAGAATGGGCTTAATTTGACTTAAGTGGCATGATTATTGCATGTAATTTAAGCACATGCTTAAGTATTCGATCCTGAGCTATATGCTTAAGTATTTGGTCCATGGGAGCAGGATCCCTAAATGCATTGCTGGATCATGGCCAGAGGTCTCAGCATCTTGTAGGATCCAGCCCATAAAGAAGGAGAAAAGAGGAGGAGGAAACGAAGGGCGAGAATAAAGAATGACACGTATGAAGTCACCCGTGTTCAGTTTCCTTAGATGCTCGGGTCTCCACCCTTGACGATGACACCATTGCATTTTCTGAAAGAATAACCACCAGACTGATGAACAAACCTGCAAGTGTCCTAAATTCAACAGAACATCTCATCTTTAGAGGTTTTGTGATAAATGGAACCAGGTAACATCTATGCAAAAAATTAAAATGTAGAAAATTGACATTTGGAATTGAGTTAGGACGTGCATTGCAACTGCTGGATTCTTATCAGTAAAGGGGGGAAAGAAGCCTGCAACCCTTTCTTAAACCCCAATGATCCAGGCTCATTTATATGCAGTTATTCACGTGTGCAGTAAATTCCAATTATGTTTACAGATGTCTGCTTAACATTTATGGAAAAGGAACCTCAGCATGTCTGCAATATACATATAAGGGGCTCAGACTGGGCTATCTATTTTTTACCAATACCAATTTAATTATATTTTGCAGATTTGAAAAAAAAGAAAAAGAAAAAACAGCTGAGCTCTCCGATAGAAGATTTAACATTCAGTGCGTGCATTTTGGTTACGTGACCATATTATAAACATTTTTAATACTTGACCATCTTTCACAATTTTCTGGTTTTGTGGAAAGGCAGGAAGTTCAGTCAATTTTAACACTCCCCCCCACCCAAAGTAAACTTAAATAATGCAGCTTAGCACACAGCTTCATTTTATAGATGATAGTCTCTCTTTTTTGTGTTGGAATTTCTCTGGCTGGAAAATTTTGCAAGATTTTTGTCTACTGAATAGTTCCTAATTATGTAGGTACCAGTCCCACCCTTAAAAACACTGGCATTTCCTTCACTTGTATATAGGAGAAACCCTAGTACTCTTACTGTCATTACATTGTGAAAGGTGTCTCACCCCTCATGGTACCTGCACATTAAATTATTGCCTTTTTTGCATGATCCATTGCCCATTGCTCTCACATGTTATGTTCATGATGATAAGATCTGTAGTGTTTAATTAATCATATTACCTAGAAGTCGTAACTGTGATCACAACCCGCCTATACTGAGCACTGTATGTACACATGATAAGCGACAGTCTCTGCCCCAAAGATTTCCGTCTATATAAAGCAGGCAGAAAATGGTGGGGAAAAGATGTACAGCAAGGTTAAATGTCTAAATGTTTCTAACTGAAATGTGCTAATTGTTGTAAATATAATATGGGCTTTTTTAGCACCCTGTACATACAAGGATCACATACAGCTTTGCAAGCATTAGGGAACTGCCCCCTGTGAGTTAAGTAAATATGAATATCCTCATTTTTATCAGAGAGCAACTGGAGAACAGAACAGTTAAGTGACTTGCTCAAGGCACAGTGAGTCAGTGGCAGAGGAGGTAGATTCCAGTAATCGACTCCCAGACTGCACACCAAAGATGCTGCCGCCTGTACAGTGACATCTCCTAATTCATTTAGAGCATTTGGCACCCATTTGCATGGCTGTTGTGTTACTTGGGCAAAACAGGGCGCAAGATCATGGGCAATCTCTCCCTACATGTGAGAGTTGGTTTCCTGCTGTATCTCACTCGTGCGACTCTAAACCTGCTCCTTCTCTTTCCACTTCAAGTTTGCCTCAACACATGCTTATGACATCAAAGCAGCAAGTAACTGATTGGTTCTGCAGCTTGTGTCCATCTGTGGGATAGGGGATTGCAAATATTTGTAACGTGTACTAAGCCAGCACCGTGAAAAATAAGCCAACGTGGTTTAAGAAAGGAATTGAAAAAAAACAAAAAACCAGTTGCTGTTTTCTCTGCTTCCACCTTGCTCTTCCATTGCAACCAGCCCCCACGCTCGCAATTCCGCTCCCAGGTGGCCCACCTGCAGCCTGTGGGCATATCTACCATGCATTTAAGCACACCTAAATGTAATGTGCATTAGCTTAAAGTGCATTAAGTGAGTTTAGGCAGGCAGGCATCTACACGTGCAGGCATTAAAGCACATTAACACTGTGCGTGTACTGACTCAGAACTAAAATTAGTCCCAAGTCACTCCACACACAGCGTTAATGTGCTTTAATGCATCTACACGTGTGTTCACGCGCTTTAACAATTTGCATCTAAATTTGATACCTGCATTAACCCCAAATCACCATTTTTAAAGTGCAGTAAGGGTGCACATGTGAAGACGCGTGCCCTAATGTGCCTTAAATTTAGGCTAATGCTCCTTAAAGCGCCTCGTGTAGACATGCCCTGTGTGTGTTTGGTAGTTGCTTCATGTACCACATTTGCATGTTGGAGCTGCGTAGCACCCTGGGCAAATAACTAAATGCAGATTGTCACTGCCATTGCATAGTGACCCATCAAGCATTTTAAACACTGCCACTACACTTCCCAGAGCAGTCCTTTTTGCCACTATTTATTCTGAGACCTATGGAAAGCTTTGTCTTTTTTCTTTTTTCTTTTTTTTTTTGTCTTGTTTTTTTTTTAAATGCTTGCTAAACAAATAAATACCCAGTACATTAAAGCGGGTGAGTTCACATATGTGAAATTAAACGACATATGTATTTGGAAATGGAGCTCCCCCCACCCTCCTCCTGAAGCAGTAACCCAGCAGAATATTAATCTGGGATTTTAACAGCTACTGTATGAAATCATCTTTCCAGAACACACACAGCCCTAAACCATTCTTCAAATATTGAAGCAATCCTGCAGTACCTGAGGACTTTGTTTTGTGTATTTGCTTGTCCACCCTGCAGACGGAGGAGGGAAATGAACCTTTCCATGTATTCCCTTTTTGAGAGGACATAATCTCCAGCAGGTATGCATAAAAGATTTGTTTGGAATTAACACTTTATTGATTTTATGTAAAGCCAGGCAGGGGTACAGCAGTGAGCAGAGATTACACATGCTGTGCTGTGTTTTAGGCAGAAGGCAGGGCTGGGATATACCTTATAGACTACCTCTCTGGGCTGTATTTAGCAACGTTTTCTTAAGGTGCGCAGGTGCCAGGGTGATGGAGCCTGAGCCCTCTGAACTCAATAACAAAATTTTCATTGTTAGCCTTGGGCTGTGGCTCATGCCTGTATGTCTGGGTTCAAGTTATATTTGGAGCTGGGGCATGGAGACGAAGTTTGCGTCTGGGTTCAGATCAGCGTGGGCATTTGGATGCAGGACCTGCGTTTAGCCAACTACAGACTGCAAAATCCAGAACAAAAGGTGGACCGAGATTCAGTCTCCACCAAAGCTTGTGGATGATCCCGTGACTCCACTCTTGTTTAGGAGGAGGCATGAAGTGCTTGGTTATACAAAGAGTAGCATTTCAGAAAAGTGAGATGCTGGGTGGGAAGAAAAGCTCATCCATGAAACCAGCCCCCCCCCCCCAAATCTGATACAAATGAGCAGAAAAAGGAAACTTCTCTTTCAATAATATTTTCTTTGGTTTGAGAGCATCTGTGGAAAGCACATGCCAGAGTTTTAACTTGATTTTAGCTTATTAACACATAAGTAAGCAAATAAACCACCCATACCATCTGTAGTGATATATAAGGTCCAATTTTATTTGTTATCCACTATTAATATGTTCTTTTTCATACTGGGATCAGTTCCAGGACCTTAAACCCCTTATAAACAATAACTAATTAAGGCAACAAAGATTTTATTGCAGCATACCAGAGAAGCACTTTGGTAGAAAAATGTACAAACATTTACATATTACTCAGGCTTCTGAGCATTGTACTGTACTGCACTGTATTTCCACACGCCTAATAAAATCCAGCATAGAATATCTCTGCTAAAAATGTGACAGCAGAAAGACACCTTGTAATTTCAGGATGGTCAGAGAAACATGCTCATTTGTAAAATTTCACTAGCATTTGATTTTACTCCTTAAAGAATCGAGACACCTCCCCCGCCCCCCCATTTTCAGCAAGGTTTAATGAAAGTCCTACTAATACAAAGTAATGGGACTGACAAATCTGCAGCATTATATTCAGTTCTTTGGCGTCTCCTAAACAGGGAAAACTCTTGTGTTTAGATGTTTCAACCACTTCTTTCAAGTCATCTTCACCTGCAGATATAGAGATATAATAATGAGAATATACAACGGGCTAATTGATAGGCGGTTATCAATACCTTTAACCTGCAAGTGACAGATCCAATTGACAAGTTGTGAGAGGTCATCAGTTTTGAGAGGAAAGAAGTGATGCCTCTCTAGTTAGCTTATTAGATATTCTGTTTCTGTGCCATTGTTTGTTCATGTTTCTGTAAGTAGTTGATGTGATAAGTTGTAACTTGAAATATTAACAGCCGGCTGCCAAAAGACCGAGCAAATAGCCATGCATTTAAAATACTCGACAAAAATAAAACTCGCACACACTTTGATATAAACGGGTAAAGGATGTATGAATGGGGAATTTTCCTTTTCACTGCACACTTTTGCCACCTATGAATGACATGGTCAGCTCATGAAGTAGATGCTATAGTATACTCAGTGTCCTACAGAGAGAGAGGCATTCTCTGCACTGACAAACTTCATGGCTATGATTCACCAGCTGTGGACCTCGGTGCAGCAGTAGAAACTGTTTTATGTGGGCAGGGATCAGGTAGTTTTTTACTGTCTTGTCAGGCAACCCTACAATCAAGAAAGTGGGTACAGTGTATTGAAAGGGGAGTCAGGGGCCTTGGGATCTGTTCCTCCTGCAGGCACTGACCAGCCTTGGGATCTTTCCGTCAAGTTTTGCATGCTCTGGGCTTGCCAGTTTGGGCCTTTGGTATGAAACTATAAGCACAGACGTGTGAAATCTAGGCACTATCAAAACTCAGCTAAAGTAAGGGATAGTAAAAACACCGTAACCCACTGAAGCTACCCTAAGTTCAGTTTTGTCTTCAGTTCCCCTTGTAAAGCAGATAAAAATGGTGAGATTTCAGGTGTGTAACCCTAAGCAGAATATGACCTAATATTTTTTCATCTTGCCTGTAAATAATCTTTTCTCTGTGTATCTTTAGTGATACGTTTCACAGCAATGTAATTATACCTGTATGTGCAATTTTGCAGCATATATTCTATATGTGGTACATGGATTAACTCACTACATATATGGTTGGAAGTGATACTTGAATTTTAGGAAGATATAATAATAATCTGTATAAAAAAAGAAAGATAGTGAGGTATAATAATATGCTGATGCATGAAATCACACGGTGAATAATTGCATGAAATCACACGGCGAATAATTTTTGGCACTTTCATTGCTGTGATACTCCAGTGTTAGACCAGTCTAATGGCACGTCAGTCTCTGTGGGTCTGTCTGTATGGTACAATGCATATGCACCGTGTCGCACCATGTAGCCCTGTCCTGTGAGTGCAACTGTCCATATTGGGCTCCCTGTCACAGCTCGTGTGCCAGGTTAGAGAGATCTCAAAATAGAAGCCTGTAATGGGAGCATTATATACCCTCTTATATCACATTGCATATATATATGACAGAGTAACCTCATATAAACACGCCGGGAAAGATTGCAACCAGAGCCAGGAATGCCCAGTCAGGAAACAAATATATCAGTAGGTTTCCCTTTCATTTTAACAAGCCATGAGCAAAGGTGATCCTGTTTCAGTCACCCGGCAGCACTGGCTGTGGGAGGGAGGGGTTGTCTTTGTACGTACTAAATGGGGATCTGCTAACGGTCTCAGCTGGCGGTCAGAGGGCATTGATGATATGCCCCAACGTTGGTTTGTTCTCGTTAGGTTTTATTGAGGCACTTCTATCGGTTCAGTTTCATTTCTTTTCTTTTTTTCCCCTGTGCTCAAACGCTCTCCATAGCAGTGATGTCAGAAATCAGGAGCTGCCACTGGCTGGTGAACTAAAGCCCTTGCAGTGCCTACAGCCTTCTCCCAGCTGCTTGTGAATGACAGAATTGTGTCTACTTCCTGCAAGAGTTTTTCCTGTACTCGCTTAAGCAGCGCCCCCCCCCCCCCCCC